TACCAAAGCTGAAACAAGTGAAAATTGGGCTTAAGACAATTACATATTATTGGATACACCAATAATAGTAGCACTTATCAATTTCTTGTTCATATCTCTGACATTCAAGACATACATGAAAGAAACATAATAGAATCGAGAAATTTTTCATTTTTCAAAAATATCTTTATGTTCAAATACAAGGAAAATGTATGTTCAATTAAGCAAACTTTTGAAACTATAAATGGTACTTTTGTAAACGATGAAAAATCAAGGCATAGTAAAAGGCTAGAACATCTACTTCTTATGGTCTTCATTTTCTAACCTACATGGTAAAAAATGATCCTAAGACATTTTGTGAAACAATGTCTACACCGGAATCACTGGCTTGGAAATAAGCTATCAATAGTGAGATAGATTCTATAATGGAAAATCATACATGGGATTTGATAGATTTACCATTCGGAAATAAGCATTTAGGGTATGAATGGATTATCAAGAAGTAATTGAAATCGGATAGATCAACTGTCAAGGTTAATAGGCAAAAGGAAGGACTTGATTTCTTTGATATTTACTCACATGTGACTAGTCGATAAAGTTTGTTGATTGCAATCGTTGCATTGCATAACCATGAGATTCATTAAATGGATGTGAAAACGACATTTTGAACGATAAATTAGAAAATGAAAATACATGGAACAACTTGGAGGGTTCTTTGCTATTAACCAATAAAGAAAAAATTCATAAACTCGTTAAATCTCTACGTGGGTTGAAACAAGTTCCAAAGCAATGGCACCAAAAGTTTAACAAAATTATGTTGTCAAATGGTTTTAAAATTAACAAGTGTGACAAGTGTGTATACATAAAACATATACCTAAAGCCTATGTAATTGTATGTTTATATGTGGATGACATTTTAATTATGGATAATAGTCACAACATAATACTAAACACCAAGAAAATGTTAACGAAACATTTTGACATGAAGGACATGGGTGTGGTAGATTTGACATTAGGGATTAAGATTTCTTGAATATCTGATGAAGTTGTACCTTTTCAATCACATTATGTTGAGAGTATACTTAAGAGATTTAATGTATATGTGGAAAGTCCAGCAAGAACTCTTATTGATTTAAGTCTACACTTAGGCAAGAATAAGGGTAAATTGGTGTTTCAACTAAAGTATTCATATGTTATAGGAAGTCTAATGTATATTACGAATTGCACTTGACCGGATACAGTATTTGTTGTGAATAAATTTAGTAGATTCATGAGTAATCCGAGCCATGATCATTGGAAGGCTTTGAATAGGGTTCTTAGGTATCTAAAACATACCTTAACCTTTAGATTACACTTCACAAAATATCGTGTGATGTTGGAAGGATATTGTGATGCGAATTGGATATTCGATATAAAGAATTTCAAGTCTACTGGTCATTATGTCTCTACCATTGATGACGTTGTTGTGTCTTGGAAGTCCACAAAGCAAACTTGTATAACCCGATTGACGATGAAATCGAAGTTTATAGCTTTAGACAAAGTTGATAAAGAAACAGAATGGCTTAGTAACTTTTTTGATGATATTCCATGTTGGCCTAACCCGGTATCTACAATAGGTATACATTGTGATAGNCTCAAATGGTATTATCTCCGTTGATTATGTCGGTATCACATGTAGATTCATAAGTTCAAGCGCAGATTTGTAATTTGCATGTCCTAATTAACTATGTCACAAACAAGACAACTCAAGTGTATAAGTAGAATTTAAACTTTATTAGTAATGATTTGCTTTGTTACAATAGTAAGAACGTTCATTTTAAACAATCCATCACACAAGTATCATTTTCCAACATACAACTCATTTTCAGCGAATACAAATTTTTCGGATACAAATACAAGTTCAAAGTCATTCTTGCTAAGTAGAGACTCGAATACAAGGTTCTTGCGTATGTTCAGTACATGTAAGACATTGTTGAGGATGAGGACTTTGCAGGAAATCGTGTTCAATGTAACTTTAATTGACCTTCAAACTTAGAACTTTCATAATTTCCCACAAAAAGTTGTTCTCCAACGAGTTCTTTGTAGTTTGAAAACATTGTCTTGTCTACACAAATGTGGCAGATAGCACCAGTATCAACCCACCATTCACTTAGATTTTCAATGTTGTTACATTCAGAAACAATCCCAGGCAAATTCATCTCTTGTATCCTTTCAAATAGGGTGTCTCCTTCAACCACATTTGTTTGTACATTCTTCTTAGGCTTTCAACATTCACTAGATCGATGTCCCACTTTGCCACAGTTATAGCAGTTGCCTTTGAATTTCTTGGCCTTCTTGGTGTTCCTTTTGGTGCATCTCCCGAAATCTTGCGCTTTTTGTTGATCTTTGAACCAGATGCCATAAAATTGGCTCCAAGTTGAACAAAAGATTTATTTTCGATCTTTCTATTATCTTCTTCAATTCTCGGTTGGACAATAAGGTCTTCCAAGTTCATCTCTTTGTGCTTATGCTTGAAATAATTTTGAATTCTTTTCATAAATGAGTGAGTTTCTCGATGATAGTAGCAACTTGGAATGATTCACTCAACGTCGTCTTCTATACATGAATGTCATGAAGTAAAACATGAAATTTTTGCACTTGACTAATGATGGCTTTTAAGTCTATCATCTTGTATTCAAGGTACCTTCAGAGAATGAACTTCTACGTGCCGTATCCTCCATCTTGTGCTTTTTCTCCATAGAATCCCAAAGTTCCTTAGAGGATTTTATTGCACTATACACACTGTATAGCGTATTGTCCAATCTATTTAAAATGTAGTTCTTACATAAGAAGTCTGAGTGCTTCCAAGCATCCAATGTTATAATTGATTCCCAATTTTTTGCTCCTTCTTGTACAGCATGAGGATCTTCGGTTAGGAACCTTGCCAAATTCAAGGTAGTGAGATAGAATATCTTTTGAAATCTACACCATTGAATTTCTCTTGTTTCTTTCCGTGTGGAATTGGAGTAGTTTGAATTGACATAGCAAATGATAGAACAGCATTTGGTACCTGATCTGGTGTTGCGAAACCATATCATTTGTACCATTTTTTGTTTGACTCGTATTAGTCTTAATGGTTTTCATTTATGTTACAATAACAGAAGTTCAACATAAAAGAACCAAGAACTGAATAACACTTATGCTTATTCTAAAAGATGAAGAGAATCGATTTTTGAAACCAACAAAAAAATGGAAATTTGTCTTAAACTTGTTGGGGGAATTATTTTATATTGTTTTGAAAGTGTATAAAACTTTTGACGAAAGTTTAACAATGCAGAAACTTTGTTAAAAAAAACAAAAGATGGAAGAAACAAAAGTTGGAAAACCAGGAAAAAAATGGAAACAAAGATCCGAGGCAAGCGTATAACACTTTGTCTTTAAGACGAATTTATCCCTCAACGGTGCTAACAAAAGTTTGGCAATCATCTCCCAAAATACAACAGAGAACTCCTTGTAGTAGAAGCATTTCAAACTATAAGGCCAAGGCGAACAAAAAACATAATTTCTCTCTACTCAAGAATGGCTTTATAGGCAAGAAAATGAGTGATTTTACAAGAGTTTTTGATGCAAGAATGATGTAAAATGGTATGGAATGACTTAATGGTGTCCAAAGAGTTCAATTTACAAAAAGTGTGAGGTTGTGGCCGGAGAGATGCGCCCCTGAATTCAGCATGTTTTATGGTCGCAACCATTCTCAATGTTCGCTCTTCACCTGCTTTGCCGCTCAAGCACTCAAAGCAGTGATCTGGAGCTCACTTAGAACCTCACTACGGCCAGAGCGGCAACCTTATATGGCCAAAAATTCATTTTTTTCTTCTAATTTTGGACAATAATTTCTCATTCATTCGGAATTGGTTTCGTGATTTCAAATATATTATGGTCATCTACTCAATTAGTAAAACAAATTAGTATATTCACTTTCATGATTTGACTATCGGAACCCATCCGAATACTAGGTCGAAGTTGACACAAAATCACTTTTCTTAGGTTTTACTTAACCAATTTTTATCTCAATTTTAACCTATTTCCAACAATTAGTAGTGTGTATGTGTGTATAAATCAAAAGGATAATAGTATCATCAATTATATTATCGAGGATGATCAATAGTTTTTTTATCGCTAATGGTCTACGAAAAAGCCATTGATGTTAGTGACCCGAGCTTCTCTCTTTTTATTAGAGAACTATTAATAATCGTCTATAATATAATTGAAGGGTGTGTGTCTCTCCCAATAAGATTGTTCATAGAAATTAACAGAAATAACACTAATTTAGCTTCCATTATTGTAGAACATTTTTGTATACTTTCATTGTAAGACAAGTGAAAAAATCATTTCAAAGTGAAAGAACGATTTTCAAACCCGTTAATGTTTTATACAAGTTCTTTTTGTGACTAACATGAGGTAGTACTTTGATAAGAACCAGCGTCGTTGAAAGCTTTTCTTTAAATTTGAAATTCACTTATGTAGATCATAATTACATTTACTGTTATTCTGTACACAATCAAATCTTAATTTATAGTTATTATCCAATCATATGAGTAATGCTTCCCAAACATGTTGTTAATGTAATTAAAATAGGTCCTACCCAGAAACTAGACGAGATACATCGTTTTGCTTTTAGTCCTCCTTGTTTCCTTTGAGAGATGGAGACGAGATGAATTTATTTTGTTTAAAATTTTATATTGAACTGACAGTACTAGCCGTTAAATCCAGATATTAGGAAGAACTTCGATAATTGAATGTGAATAACTCGATTCTTGAAATCCTTTCCCCTGCATAAGGAACACTAGCTAGAAATCCTTATCAGAGTGGAGGGACTCAGATTCCCAGATTCTAGGAAGAAAGTTAGCCTTAATAATTAAGGTCTGTAACCAAAAACTTTATAAGAAAATTAAAAATCAATTTCAAGCCAAACCAACTTTATGAAGTTTACAATTAGTAGAGTAATAATTATAAAATACACGTGAATGTAAAAATAGTTACTAATTTTCCATTGTAAGATCACTCATATCTCTAGTAATGGCAGGGATGCAGCTTGAACTCCTAAGAATTCCTCCCTTCTTTGTTGCAGCAGCATTATCTCTAGCACCCATGGATTTGCTTCTAACTTGTCTCTTCTTCAAGATTTCTCTCATGGCTTCAGCTTGATAAAGAATTGGATAAGCCCTCCCATATTTGTTAAACCTAACGCATGCATGCATATGAGAATTCAACGCTTCCTCTCTATTTCCACCATTTTTATCAGTTTCTTCTTTAACTGCTTCAGAGCAAAGCCCACAAATCCACTTCCCGGAGAACTTATCACGTACTTGGCCAACATACCCAGGAGTGCATTCTTCGGTCATGCCACAGCATTCGCATTTCGCATCTTCAATTTCAGAAATCGGTGGTAGACTTTGCAAGTCTGCAGCCTCTTTGCTTAGCTCGAAAGATATGTCAGATATTGTTCTTTGCAGGTTAGTGCTCTTCGTGGGATTGCACAAGTTTACGGTATTGGAAGAGTTCCTGACAATGGCCTCTCCATGTGGTGCCATGATGATGATAATCTTCAAGCCTCAAGAAACCCAAATGAGAACTGTGAAGGGCAATGACTTAAAAAGATATAGAAAGAATCAGTGTATGCTTGAAAGCTTCTGTTGGATGAATAAGTGACCATATAGGTGGACCTATTTATAGTTGTAAATTTGCCTTATGAATTGGGAAGACTAAAAATAACATTTAGTGGACCATGGAAACTCCCATGTCACTGTACAACCTTCACTTGGACAGTCTTGAATGTGCTAGATTTTTCATCAGAATCTGTGGCTTGAAACAAGAGTGTTAATTGGATGAATATCTTTTTCATTTTCAAGGAAAGCAATGTTTTCTTTATAGTTATTTGAGTGAGACTTGGATTCACATGTTTTTGTTAATGATCTTTGTCGACAACACTTGGTGAGTTCACAATAGCTTCACAAAGAGAGTATCTTAATATTGGGAAAGTCTTTATTATCGAGAACATGCTCAAGGAAAGAATTCGTCTCCATCAATCTAAGAAAAACTAATTGGGTGTCCATATTTTTTCTTGGTTGGGCATTACATCATATGTTGGTTTATATTTTAAAAAAAAAGGGCTATAGCCGAGTCTTGAATTTGGCGCAAAATTTTTTTTGTTCTTTTAGTTCATAAAATCAGTTCCAATCGTAGTTTCGCCTCTAGCACGACATTTATATTACTAGTTAATTTGTAATACTTTTTCATATAATCGTAAAACCCGAGTATAAATATGAAAGGGATAGATATGGTTTAGTAATTTGAAATCGATAAAATGCGCAAAGTTGAGAGTGTTAAGGGTAAAAATCCAAACATAAACATTAAAACAAGGGCTTTGGCGAGTACTTTTAACAATGTTGACTATATAAAATAGAACATCAAGACTTGCTACAATATCAAACTCTAAAAGGCTCAATTGACCAAGTCGACTGATCCATCTAAAGTGTAAGCGAGCGGATGAATTGTAAGATTGATATTCTCAAAAGATTAGTCATCTCGTGAGAACATATTAAAATCGTTTAGATATGTATAAAAATAAAGATTTGAGTCACTTCTCTTTAAAAGAACAACCTACTAAGACGACCACTCTCAATACGGATTTCAAAAAATATAGTTTTCATGTGTTTTTCTTTCACAAGAAATTATTGCAGTAGAAATTAGCTTTGTTCATAAAATAAAAATATAGCTCAAGTTGCTTGGTTTCACATGACTAATGTTTTAAACCACATAATAAAATTGATTTTAAGAGTCACAAGCTTCTTGAAATAAAGAAGAAAAGTGGTTTATGGTAACTGTAGCTTTTCATGCTTGCAAATCGTAAAAAATTTCAACCTTTCATCAATTCTCACATGACTGATAGTGACTCAACAAACATCTCTTTCATTAAAACAAAATCGTAGAAGGAGAATTTGTTGCGTAAAACAAAATTTAATGATGTCTTTCATAATTTTTAAAATAAGAAGCAACGTCTCTATAATATGCGATTGCACCACTGTTGATGAATAACATTACTATTTATTTGGTTCATATGCTCAATTACGTAGGAAATCATCAAATTCAGAATCGATAATTGAAAACCATCAATCATATTGCACCTCGTTGAGGTGTACAATGGATCGATTGCTTAATGAATAATAATAGTAATAATAATACACCAAAATTTTATTTCTGGTCCATCTCAATGAATGCAATTAGATAACCCCAGTGGTGATGACTCGATCTCAATCCTAATCTGAATATCCAATGACTCGTCGAGCTGCTTTTCATTTTTTTTATTTTCAAAGAAAAATTTATCATTTTATAGACGCCGATGCCACATTTCTATAGGATTTTCATGTTGCTAAACATAGTTTCTTTTCTTTTTCCTTTTTCTTTTCTAAATTTTATAAATATACCACAAAGTTTGTCATTTATCAAGTCCAACCCAGCATACCAAATAAGTAATATTTAGAAAGTAAAGTAAGAAATAAAAATGTAGCAGCTAATAGAAAAGCAAATGAAATAGCCAAAAGAGTGTGATAACTGAGGAGCCAAACTAAGCAACAGTTTTTAAGGTTCTATACCAAGAAAAGTAGAGTACGAGGAAATGGCAATCCTTTTTTTGAGTACTTTGTTGTCCTGGTTCCTCTAATCCACGCCAATAACTTTACACGAATGACCAGTTTACGAACATAAAGCAGATGCAATGGGCATTGTCGTCTTCATTCAGAACTTTCCAAGCTACTGCACGTTCGTAAGAGACGGGCCTCCCCATGCTCGACAGACAGATACCACTTTGAAGACATGCAAAACCCTGTTAACAGAAAGTACCAAGATCACAAATAAGCTCCGGACCTTAGCCAAAAGTATAAGGCAAATAGACAAGACTGTTCCCAAGTCCAATCCCAAACCCGAGAGCAATAATGAACGAACATTCTCACGGGAAGCAACTTACCCTTAGATATCGAGAAAAAACACAAAAAGGAGGGGTAATGATTGAGGGAAGGATACGAGCACACAGTACACATTTTAGTCGTTTAAAAAATTATAATCGACAAAGTCACAATCATATCAACAATGGTTCAGATAACAGACGTCGATTGTGTGATATGGGCAGAAGTTTATTGGTTTCAATTGCTAAAAAGTCCGAATAGCATATCGTACCACTTCCTGCAATACAACCCATTTCATCTGTCACCGATTGCCTCATTGCGCAAATCATTTATATCGTTTCAATATTGTCATTTGGATCATTGAAATGATCTTTCTTTACACGAAGTATCCTTACCGTCATTATTTAAAGGCTTGTTCTTCAAATGCTTGTTCAATCCTCAAAATTATTTGTTAGTGATTCACACAAGCAATCTAGATTCAAGATGAGGCAAATATCATTTTAGAAAGTCGCGTTCAATTCTTGATATTTGTTTGTTTTTTCTTCCACTTTGAAGGTTCGAATATTTGGCATGTATATATTCAATCGGGGAATGACTGACCTGTTGCATTATTTGTGGGAACTCGGAGCAGAGATTTTTCCTTCCATGATCATCAAATATCTTTTCCAGAGATATGTCTTGAAGCGCAACTAAGGTTGTCTCAAGCATATCAAGACCAGCCTGGTTTGCAAATGTAAACACCGGCATTGCCTGCATAATTTTTGAAGTGAGATAAAATCGAAAACTATGAAGTTATGGGAAATAAGGAGTAATGAGACTTCAAAATTATACATGCTGCTCATTTTATCTATATGAAGTCATGCATGTTTGGCAAGGAAGGTAGGATGGTACTAGACACAATTAAGAAAGAAAAAGAAGCTAAAAATCTCGTTTATTGTATTGTCTAATCCTATTGAGTTCAACACACCAAACATGCAAGTTCAAGTAGGGGAACAAAGCAGCTGAGTTGCTTCTTAATAATGGGTACAAAATGAAATCCTTCATATGCTACAAGCTAGAGACTTCAATGGAAAGCCTATGGGCTGATTAGACAGGATAAATGGGGAGTTCCATATTTGAGTTGGATAAATTGATCGTCTTATGTATGTCATCCTTTTTACAATTTCTTGCCTTCAACTGTATAGATTGTAAGATGTTTGTATCTAGTTCGTTGGAGGTAAGGCTCTTTGATGTTCCCCTCCATGTAGAACATATTCATATCAATATACTAGGGTAGGGGGGCAATGCCAAACCCCCCATTCACCCTTAAATGAGTGGAATAAAACCTTCCACCCAAGTCTGAATGAACTTTAGAGGAAAAAAAAGAGAGAGAGAACATGCACCAACAATCAAGTTCCTAAAATGGAGTTGCATCTTGCAATAAAATGCTTTATATACATACATGAAATGTAACTCACAAAAATTATGACTGTGGATGAATTGCGCAAACAATGAATTGATAAACTAAGAGTGGCAATCTACATAAAGCTTCTGATAATTATTTTTCTTGCACAAGTATTGGAGGGAAAAGAAAGGAAGGAAACCTGGAATCAGAAACTTACCTTAATGGAGCAGCATATAATAGCATCTGAGTGATTCCATAGAGCTTTGAGGATCGATTCACTCCCTTCACTGGCAGACTTGAGAAGATCAACACCCATATAGCTCCTATCAAGATGCAGAGTAAACGGACTAAATCAATCACAATGCCACAAGGTTCAGAAAAGCATTCCCCTAAAGTTTGTCTAGGTCAGTTGCATTCTCAGCACAACCTTGGGCCTTAGATTTCTCTCACAACATCTTCACTGCGAAATCATATATTGTGAAATCAAACTGACAAATGTGAATCATGTTGTAAGTGGTACCTGTAACTTTGGCAGATCCAACGAGCAAGAGTATGTGCTTCAGGAGTTCCAAGTGGTGAGCGAAGACTAGCTTGCGGACCCAGGTGAGAGGGAGAAAGAGCTAATGCAACCCGTTGAACTGATGCTATGATGCTACGTACATACTGTCGGGCGAACGATGCAACATGATCTTGCATGTGGCTTTCAAATGCAAATTCAAATGCAATTGTCATGACGGATCTTGTCGCGCCACCGGTAACAGCAAGGTCATTTGATGCTTTATTTCCTGCTGTTCCAATTTCAAGAGCAGAGGCAAGGTCCAGGGTGCGATTCGGACTCGAAGCTTCCTATGTCGCATTGCAAAATCATATAAAAAGAGGTCCAAGAAAGAGGTGCTAAAGGGATTTGGGAAATTAATAATGGAATTAATCGAAGACCATTCAAGGATCAATCAAATAAATAATCAAAATCCTTTATTTGAGATGCAAATTTGCTTGTGTATAATTTCACAGTTGTCCATCCACCCATTCTTTAACGTAATTGTAACTTAAGTCTTTAATCACTAGAATTCAGATTTTTCCTTAAGGTATTCACACAACTTATCATCCTGTCTTAAGCCTCGAAATCAAGTCCTAACCATCCATCAGTTCATCAACTACTCTTCAGAAATATTTTATTCATCATGACATTCTATTGAGCATTTCTACTTTTTTGTCACTCACTTTTAGAAATTCCTACTTAATGATGCAACTATACAGCATTGAAGGATCAATCAAGAGAAAAATCAAAATCATTGCTTTGAGATTTGAATTAAGTTTTTTCCCTACATTATTCTATTCAACCTATTTGATAGATACAGATGCAACAAATTCATTCGTCAGTAGAACTCAGTTCTCTTTGAGTCGTGAAGAGTAACGTATACAAAATACAGAAGTTGTACATGAACACTCACCTTGCCAGAATCAAGAGGAATGATGCGGAAACCAGATGGCAGGAGAGGAGCATCATCAGCAAAAGAGGCATCAATAGGGGCAAATATTAGTTCAGCACATGTGCCGACTGCATTTTCATCTATCCCACTACAGAGCTGCAAAATTGCAAAGAGATGAAACACTGAGTGGAAATACTTGGCAGGCAAGAAAATATACTACACAACATATTATCAGTGTTTTAGAATGCAATCACAGGACAGACTTGAGGGAGGACTTCCCCGAGTTAACGACACGTGGAAGTAAGAATAATTGCGAGGGGCAAAAACCCAGAGTTCTCAGGAGCTTTTTTGCACTCATCCCTTGAGTATACGCAAATTAGATTCTCATGATCAGAAAGTATGTTGCGACTTTAGAAGCCCCAACATATGAATAGGATACTTAATCAACCTGAAGTCAAATTCACTTGCCAGATTTCACAAAAGAAGAAAGAATCCTGAGCAATTTTTAAATATAGTTCACTTTTCGTTTACCACAATCCAGGTTAAAAAACACGAGCACTGAACTTTGAACTTTTTCTTCATGTTCCAGAATCGCGGCGGAAATTTTATGATCTTAGCCAATAACTATTTATCATTCACAGTCATTCTTTTCATTTCATTTCGATATTAGCAGCCAGATTAAAGTTTGAAGTTTGGGTTACTTTAACTTTCCTTTCTTTCCCATATGATTCGTACAAAAGTTTGGGTTACTTCAACTTTTCTTTCCCATATGATTCATACAAACACGTGCAAATGCACATATAGAAGACTACAACAGAACATATCTCCGCATGAGTAACTCTGGCATTGTGTAAGCAACAGCCAGCTGAAACTTTCTCCAGAACAAAGAAAGCCTACAGATTAGCCATCTCAAATATCATTTAATAAGTGAAAGATATTTATAGGACATTCAGCTCAACTCCTGTTGCTGTATCTTTTTACATAAATGAAAAACTTAGTATTCAGAATTAGAAATCAAATCCAAAAAAGCAGAGGAATATGAGAGCGTATATGGCACAGAAAAGAGTAAAGATAAGAAAAAAAGCTTTTTATTCTCTAAAAATAAGCCAAAATGATTTCTTACACCCTAAATAGGTTAAAAAATCGTCCTTTTCAGAATAATGTTCTTTCCTAAAATAGAAGGGCTTTACATGTATAAGAAATATAGCCAGCTCCACTAAGCATTCATTTTCTACTTATTTTACCTTAAATTGTTTAAAGAAACACGCTAAACAACTTAGGCCCCAGCTTTTGTTTTAATGCTACCCCCTTTTAAGTTTCGTGCAAGAAATCATGCAGAGTGAAAAAACACATTCTATCAGAGCTTAAAAACTTGATAACCACCACAGCGGAACATTGGTCACGCCGAACATCTAGAATTTTTCAACTCGTCACGTGGAAATAGACTATCCATGCCCCTGTTTAATATGCTTCATGAGGCAACACAAATACTCTTCACGTGGATGGACATAAAACAGATATGAGGAAACAATATTTACCTGCAAGAGGAACACATCCCTAGGCAGCATTGCATCTTCAGGAGAATGGCCAACACCTTCCAGCTTGATGACCTCCAGCAGCTATTAAGCATAAACGAAATATATAATTTATATTGGACCGTAAAAAGGCCAGAAGTGAATGAGGCTCGCATTCTAAAAGCATTAATATTAATCTATGATGAAAAGAAATTCAAATTACTTGCCTCTCCATGCTCAATAGTCTGAGCCAGCGGAAGGATAACTTGACCCCCAAAAGAACCAACTTGGGACCCTAAAAAGGTACAAGGACCAACTTTAACAGCAGCAGCTGAGTAAGCATCAACATTGTTGTCTGCCCATTCTGACCTGTGCTCCCTCAAAAACCTGAGTAGTATTGCGGGAGGTACATTCTGAAGCCCAAAAAGAAGAGAATGAATAAGCAAATCATACCATAATATAACATGTGAAAAAATATTAATTTTCAAATTTTGGAGACCAAAAAGTAAGCAGAAACTGCAAAGGCATGCCTTCTATTTCAAGGACAAAAGTCGGTACTGGTCACCAGAAATATCAAACTCAATTCAAAATGGTTGTCGCTAGTAAGATTTAAAACATATTTCTAGCTAACGAAGAATGCATCTGCTATCACTTCTGTCAAAGAATTACTGATGCCAAGGACAGGAGGCATTGTAACTTCATGTTCAAACGATTACTAGAGAAATTTCATGCATGGAACACAGGTGAAATCAATATCTTACTATAAAACAGTATTGGAACTTTCAAACCTCCTATCAATCGAAAACCAATTTCACTTGTTTGACGTTAATTTTTTAGCAGTAAAGATAATGCAGCTAGTTTAGATTGGAAAGAAACTTGTTACATGAAATGTTAGCAAGCATCATAGAGCTAAAGAACAACTTGCAATTCAACTCTACATAAACATCCTATCAATCTAGCATATACATGGTTGTATACTAAAAATCCTTTACAAACCATATCATATTTATACATGCTTCATTGCATATATTGAAAAAATCTTTACAAATCATACAGGACATGTTTGATAAGCAATATTAGACGGTATCATGCACGAAAAACTTCTTATACTTTCTTATTACGGCCCAATACAGTATACTCTACCTTAACAAACAAGCTAATAATGTGAACATATGCTTATATACCATATTTACAAACCATAACATGTAGATATGCCTATATGTAGGATATTTATCTACAAACTTCACGTATTATGTGTGTATAGATTAGGTAGTACTATTATTCTTGCTAATAATTTTTTCATACAAAATTATGTCCTCTTTTGTGTTCCAGCAAATCAGTACATGTTTGGTAATGTGCCACATTTCTTGCATTGTACACCATTCTCCCATCAAACTATAGTGAGTCGAGCAGTTGTGATAGGAAGCTCTTAGGAATGATTTAATTCATTGATCTTATTGAGAAAACTTTAAAGAATTGGAAACTTTCAATCACCGAGTGAATCAGAAACCAAATTTAGAAATAGCATAATCACAATTCTATGTGATCTAGATCCCATCAGTAACAAACTTAAAAACGGTTATAGCAAAATAATGTTTTAGTATGAAGTACCATAACCTTCATTTATATATGAAAAACAACTCAACGTGTGGACAATGATTACCTGTAAAAGCATAGATGCTTTGGCACACAGGACTGCATTGCAAACTGATGGGTATCCATTTGTGAAAGAGAGATTTAAGCCCATTAATTTTTCAGGATTAGAGTTCACCACAATAGTGACATCATCCATGCCATCGTTACCCATCAACGACCACCCCTCGTCACTAAACGCGTTGAGAGCCTCATTAAATCCCCTATCAAAAGGATTAGTATAATCAATACAAATTAACTGAATGAATTCACCAAAATAAGTAGAATACCCTACCTGCTCAACCTGTGGCCAAGTGCTCGTAAAGCTGCAGGCCGTCTGCCCCAGTTGGTTACGCTAGACTGGGAAACATCCTGAGCAATCTGCCTAAGTTGGCGCAGTGCCTGCATTAGGAGGCAGAAGCCAAGCAAGAAGAAACAAAATAAACCATTATAAACATCAGCCTCATTGATATCAAAGTGCTGTAAAATGCCGTAAAAAGTAGAACGACATTCGTACCGCAATTGTGGTCTTTTGAGCTAGCATTGTTGAAGACTCGTAGAGAGGGCGTAACACCTCAGGAACGCTCCATGGCTTTTAAACAAAATAAGAACGCCCGCGAAACATAACAGAGCACAGATAAAAAAATAAGCATGCGCAATTGGATGTATTTAATCTATTCTAAAAAGTTCGTTACTCTCAGTTTTTAACCCACTTTCTAAGATTTGTAAAAGCTTGAAAATTTTTAAGATGAGTCATCCAATATCATATTACCATCTGCTATTCAAATATGGATTTTCAAACGGCACAGATTTTCAAAACACTTGTACGTTATCTTAGTGTCTCCTACAAAATGAATTCTTTCACGACAAATTGTTTTAGAAGAAGTGGAAAGTCGGCGGAAGCCGCGGAACCGTTAAATCATGGATGAGGTTGTAAAATGTTAGAGAAGGCGGAAACAACTTTACCTCCAAATTCATGTGATCAACAATGTGGATAATTGAACCTCCGCCCTCACATGGTCTAATTAAATAACCACTTGGCAACATTTCAGCTCTCACAAAGTTCTGCACAGGTGGCATGCTTGGACCATTTTGAGTATTGCAAAGTGATCTTTCGCAGACCTAAGTATTTCGTTGGAGAAACTGATTAACTTATGCCATCAACTGATAAATGAGAAATACTAGAATTTAAAGATCACACCATCAGACATAAAGCATCTTTAGCTAAGCTTAAAAGATTTACATTTAGTAAATAAGTTCTTGATTGATCATAATTAATTGAAATAAACAAATTGGTACGGCACAAAGTTAAGAGTTACTTTCAAGATAAGTAAATCTTATACTTAATGTTGAGGAAAAACTTGGCTTATTTAAAATTGTTTGAAGACAAGTACTTTTATATATTTTTAAGCTTAGCCAAAAATGGTCTCGGGATATAAAGGTTCACATACCACTAGACTGCCATCATCCATGACAGAAGTATAGCGTAACAGCCAAAAGTCACGACCTGGCGCCAAAGTTGTTGGCGCATATAGCTGAATCAACAAGTTTAGCAAGTCCATAAATCAATAGACGGAAAAGAAGGCCAACAAGCACGATACACCAATAATAAAAATTTCCCACCTGCATATATATAAGTTCAATGGTTCCACCATTGGCAGTAGGCAGCACATTAAGAACGTTCACAGCCCGGCAATCACGAAACCATGAAGGACGCTCCTTCAGGATTTCTGCCACCTGAAAGAAATGTCAGCAATCAATTCTTCTTATGACTCCAAAGTAGAATCACATAGCTTGAAAGAAATAGACACAAAAATGAGTTGAACTTACCCTTGTTGGCTCTAGACCAACCAGGCCGCAAGCTCTTGCTGCCACACCAGTGCAACCATGAGAAATAGCAACGATTCCAATGGAATCCGGACCAGGCTATTCCAAATTAACAAAAGCTTTGATTGGTTAAAAATGCAATATCCAGTTCGATTATATCAAAAAAAAATAAAAAATCTATGCATTATCATTGTTTGGGCTAACGGTGTTCCTCCATATCTCCAATATCAAGCCCAACCATTTACTATTGCATTTATTAATGTTCTTTAATAGAAACACTTGATAATAAAACTATCAAACAAATTGATTTGATGTTCACAACATTATGAAGTAACATGAAGAGACCTAGTAATTACGACAGCTGCAAAGAAAATTTCTTGAATTGCACTTAGTTTGACGGGAAAAGGAAAGGGGAAAAAAAAAGCATATATTACAAGGCTTTTCAGTATCTTAACCAAAAATAAGGGAAAAGAAGAAAAACAAAAAGAACATTATTCTCTGATGAATGATTAGCAAGCATAAATTATGCAAAACCTCTGTTCACGTAACATACACGCATACCAGTATGCTTGTATTTTTTATTAAACTAATTATCATGGAAATAAAAATAATAGATTTCACAGAATTCAAGAGGCACTGTACCTTCATTCCAGGCATTTGGACCCACTCAACAGCAGTTCCAGTGGCCTTTGAAAGAAACTCTGTTAAAGTTTCTTCTGCAATGGACAAAAGCCTGGGAAATATACAAAAAGCAAACAGAATTTCATAAGCCACTCACAAACGCTCACAACAAGGCAATGAGTCACAGAGCACAACAATATATTTATATTTTTATCAAGAAAAGGACCCATCAACCATAAACACACTCACCCTGCAGGACTTGCATCCCTTGGCGGATGCTGAGGCGTCAAGCGGTGTTGTTGACTGCTCGTCACCGCTGATTCACAACTTGTATCTTTAGTAGGAAGTGCATTCTAAAGTAGAATAAAGGACAAAACCTGTTAATTTTCTTTAAAACTCTATTGATTTCACTTGAGACGTAATTGGAGCAGAATACTTGATAAACCACGACACGACAAGATTTCAACTTCTTTTTGTTTCTTAATGCTATGAAATACAGCTGAGTTCCATGTTATCTGGCATGCTATCAACATTCAAATTTGCAGTGCTAAGACTACACCAGGGAAAATTTACCAAGAGGGAGTCTAGGATCTTACATTTTGAGTATGCTGGCGAAAGTAACCATTTTCATAAACCAGTTGTGACACTTGCTTCTGTAATCTATCATTCTCTTCCATTAGGAGTTTGTTCATGGCCGTTAGCTTCCTATTCACTGATTGAAGCCTCGATGCCTCTTTCCTCTGTTTTTCTCTGCATCTGCATTTCCACAAATAGAAAAACGCAGTCCATTTTCAATAACAAAGAACATGAATTGAAATTAAAGAGAGTATATCCCATTTGTAGATTACATCCTTTTTTACATAAAACAGTCAATGACACGTCATAGTCCAGAGATGCAAAGAGGGAAGACAAAAGATTCTCCACACTTCCATTATACATTCACAACAATTAATACTTGTCAATCAATTAATTGAATTTAGAACAAGAATTAAAGTCAAACAGAATGTACCTACGATTCTGGAACCAGACTTTGATTTGCTTAGGCTCAATGTGGGAGAGAATAGGGCATTCACGAATAAGCTGTTGGCGGCGAATGGAGCTGGGCTTAGGACACTCATGATAGAGCCTTTCCAGTGCTTCAACCTGCTCAGGCGTGTACCTAACATACTTGCCATTATCCATACTCGCTGCAGCTGCTGCCGCCGCCTTGTTAGCATCCTTGCAAGACATTGCCATCTCCCAAAATTATATTCTCAAAATCAAATAAACTAACTGATCACGACAAACGCTCCAATTGCCCTCTCTTTCCTTCACAATAATTCAAACAATTGAGGCTATTCCGCAAAATCTATCACTTCTTCTTCTCAATCCAAGAGCAAAATAATTCCGAGGCTTCCAGCAAAAACCCAGAATTTTCTTCCGTTATTGACTACTATTGAGCACAAAAGAAAAAAGCAAGAACGTTTCAGAACTCTGAATCTTACAGTGGGTTTTTAAATTGATTGATCACGAAGAAAAACGAATTTCGATATGTAACGGACAACAGATTGCTGAAACTGAAACTGGGGTATTCTCATCACCAAACACAAGAAGACAAAGTTCCAAAAATCACGACCAGAAAACAAGAAGATTTCCTCAAACCACCCAAAAAAAGCAATTTCTCACACATCTGTTGTTGGATCCATGCACGTTTCCAATTCCACAAGTTTTCCTTCATAATAAACAAAATCAAGAAATCACAAACAAAATACGTCAAATAAAAACTCACAAAACTTCAAAAACCTTCTTCAACCCATGAATTTTCATATTGGGTTTCACATATGATAGTCTGCTGCCTATACATAAATTAGTAGTACATACATGTGGAGATCTAGAGTAAATGAAATAGAAGAGTTGGTAAAGATTATTGAAGGAAAGGGCAAAAGGTAAGTGCTCGGTGGTGGCTTTATTTGTTTGGTTTGGTTCTTGTCAGTTTGCTACTGTATTTTCCATTAGTTTGGTGCTTTTACTGTATAGGTATTAGGATATCACTTTCCATTCACACTCTCTGTCACTGTATGTAAGTATACTCTGCATTTGGAATATTGGACTGCAATGCACTAATTACACCGAAAAAGTTTTATCAACTTGCAAACTTACCGTCTTCTATAAAATAAATAATAGAAATAAAATTTTGTAAAGGCTGATTTTTTTTTTTTTTCAAAAAAATGTATAATTACGCCCCGCGTTTGACATTCATTAAAATGAATTTATTTTTTTAGAAAAAATGAATTTTGGAGTAATAATTTTTTGAAAAATGTGTGGATAAAAATTTTGAATTTATATGCAGAATATTTTATTATGTAAATGTGTTTTTGAAAATGAGTTTGAAAAGTTTTGGTGTAACGGATGTTAGACTGGCTAAAAAAATCTTAAATTTCAGTACATAAATTATTTTATTAAAAAAATACATGATTAAAATGAATATTTTGAAGAATGAAGATCGAACTGAGTTTAAACCTTCTCATCGTTCATTCATGAAAAAATGTGCTTTTCAAAAATTTGATTAACAAAACGGATAATTCTACGTATGAAATACGCAATAAATCTGTTTCTTCGTCTCCTTTACCTACGACCTGATTCATCTTAGCGAATTTAAAACTTGTTACCACCCATTCATGAAAAAAAAAATTGTCTTTTCAAAAATTTCATTAAGCCCCTGTTTGGTCCTCATTAATATTTTTATTTTCATTCTTCTACTCATTTTCAACCACACATTTTTCAATAAAATAATATTTTCAATCATATCAATAACTTTTCCTTATTTTTCAACCACATATTCCCCATCCATCACATCAACAAAATACATTAATCTACAAAAAATGTGCACCAAACAGAGCCTAAGAAGAGGTTTGAATACTCAATCAAATTGTAGTCGAGTATTTTCCCATGCTCCTTTACATGTGACCTAATTCATTTTATCGAATTTAAACTTTTAGTCACTTTGTTCACAATAATAATAATGATAATTGTGTACTTATCAAAAATTTGATTTAGAAAAGGGTTAATTGTACTGATTTGGCAAGTTCAAGTGGATAGGTTAATTTTAGTGGTTGGTACTCGGTAGACTGACTGGATCCAATTTAGGTGAGTTAATTGCAATTAAATTGAAGTTAAGTAATTTAGGTGAGTTATTTTCAATTAAATTGCAATTTTAATGGTTGGTACTCGATAGACTAAC